TTGGAGACTTTCACCGGCGCGGAGAAAATCGCAGAGACGTTCCTCGATGATCGATTACATCGCGTCTCGCGGACTTACGCCAAAGAAAAATTTCATCAGCAACCAGCGGAACGTGCTAATTGGCCTTCGGGCACGAGAACTCGGAGTTTTCTGATTTTTTTTTTTTTTTTGAGAGAGAGAACCGGAGCGGCAGAAATGCTAGGGAAATACCAGAAATTATAACATCCGCGCGATAAATTCTCGGTACACGAGTATCCGACGCCAATATGTATGCAAATTCGTGAGGGAACGCTCCTCTGATATAAAATTCCTCGAGGAAAAAGCTCGCACGCGCGTGTTTCCACTATCGTGCATTCGGTGGGTTTTTCAAAACGCCTACCATAATACCTACGATAATTATGACCGATACGAACTTCAGAAATTCTCCAGCTAATTGCTAGAAATTCCAACCATTTGCAACCTTTACCCCCCGTTTTGACACGTTTTTCTCTCTCTTCCGGCTGAGAGAATCTGCCCAGCAAAAAGAAAGAAAAATCTGCAGTCTACAAATCTACGTAATCTACAATCTGCAGCTTGTCGATTCGTTGATGCGTTGTTGAGCAGTGGAAATCCCGATATCGGGACACGAATTTGCGAACGACGCGTCTCCTGCGAAGTCGATGATAAATACCAGCGACACGGACGAGTTTCGCAACGTGGGACGACAACGAGGGAAAAAGGGATGAAACTTATCGCTCGGGAAATTAGAAATCGCCCACGGCGCGGGATAAACTCGGGTGTTTCTCTCTGTAGTTGAAGAGTGACCGACGGCGTGTCGGTTTAATTCGCTTCGCGAGGCATCGATCGGTACGGTTTCGAGGTCGACGCGCCACCCCCGGAACCAAGAACCCATGAAATATCGCCGGACAACGTTCCGTTGCTTCCCTCCCATAAACCAGCGTTCGCGCTCTTCTTTCCGATTAATGGACGATTAAATTAAAATCGAAAATTTATCGAGACCCGCGCGCGCGGTCTACTACGCTCCGATGGGATAATTTATATCTCACGTATATACGTGTATATACGGAGGGGCCATGGAAAATCGTGTTCCGATGTTATTCTCGACCGTGGAAAGAAACGAAAATCGACGAGGTTCGCCGAGTTCCCTCCTCTTTTGTTTCCCTCGAAACGTTTTCAAACGCGTGAAAACAGCGGAGTAACGGCGAGTGCGGCGAGACGGGAAAAATATTATTTCGCTGGCGATCAATCGCCGATTGGAAATATTTTCACTCGCCAGGCGGATAAATAAATAATTCTCCCTCGATTTTCGATGCGCTCTCTGTTTTACAATTAATTGCCACGCGTAATTGTTGTTTTATCGATTGTTTACCACGGGGAGAGGGGAAGAGCCAGGGGGGAGGGGATTAAATTAATTAAATCTGTGAGAAATTACAACCTGATAAAATCGCTATCTCTCTCGCAGGCGCGAGTGATCGATGCGCGAAGCTTCCAACTTGCACGGGTTTTTTTTTTTTTTTTTCTTTTTTTTGAATTTTGATTCACAAAAATGGTCGATGAAACACAAAAAAGAAAAAAAGGGGGGGAAAAAAAAGAGGAAAAGAAATTGCAAGTGCGAGAGGGAATGGTGCAACGCGCTTTTCAGCTACAGAGCAGAAAATTTACCGGAAAACTCGGCGACCGACCGCCAATTTCCTTCCGCTTTCTTCTCCCTGTTCGTACGTCCTACATTCCCGCTAGAAAAGTGAGCCACACCTCGTTTCCACGGCCGGATATTAGAGTTTTATTGTCACAAGACACAATTATGCCTCCTCTGTCTATCATTTCTCTTTTTTCTCTCTCTCTTTCCTGTACGGAGAGAGCGGAATTCATCTTCGTCGCTCGCGACAGTCGCGGATTTTCAGTTCGGTTATCGTCGATTTTTCAGATAAATTCAATTCTCTTTTTTGACTCGATGTGGAAATGTACATTCTCTGAAAACGCAGCCGTGCTTACACGATTCATTCGCATCGATATTTCGTAATACGATGAGAGAGAGAGAGAGAGAGAGAGAGAAATATCCTTTTCAGGACAGGATTGAAATTTCCTCAGACTTAATTTTCAAGCAACTTCGAAAAATATTGCGCGCAAAACGCGCAGGAACGCTCGCGTAAGAAAATCAACATGAAATTTCTCCGAGATTTAAAGTCGAGCGGCTTTTTAATTAACCTAAGAGCAGAGCGGCGATATAATAACAGCGCTCCTCGTTATTATATCCAGTTTGTTTAAAAAAAAAAAAAAGAAAAAAAAGAGAGAAACGTTTCGTCCCTTGGAAACGTTCGTCGCCCCGACACATAAATTTCAAAGGTCCTAGATTTCGCAATGTCGGGCCCGTCCAATTAAAAAAATCGTCCGTTGCACTTCGAGGGAGATTTAGATGGAACAAAGATCTGTCTTCGCTAATTTATTAAATGGGGGGGCGAATATTCAAGGAAAAGAGCACGTAGCAAGACGACAGGCGATTTCTCTCGGTTCCCAGAGGCGGCAGCTGCCGTTTTCGCCTCGTTCGTTTCCCTTCCCCCTTTTTCTTCACCCTCGTCATGCTTCCCAGCAGTTTATCCTCGGGGGCTCAACCACTGCTGCGCGCGTTACACGGTCAATCTTGCGCAATCTGTTGCCGTAGTAATTAAACGTCATGATTTTTTAATGGAACTGTATAGCGAACGCCGCGCGACTTTAAATCCTTCTCTTCTGCACCGTGAGCTTTCGTACTGGCAACTAATCCCAACTAGTCGTTGAACCGTGCAATTCCGTGTCTACGTAATTCTCGCGTTCGTCTCTCGCTTTTTTTTTTTTTTTTTTTTTACGTCGAAATGTGGAATCCAGCGTGCGTTTCGCTGCTGGCATCGATGAACTTTCGAAAAGAGATTCGAAGGAATTTTAAAAAGAAAGAAAAATGAAGAGAATCGTACAAGGGAGATTGATTAAAATTAGTAATGATGAGATTGAGTGCCAGTAATAGCAGTTTTATACTATATACTATATACTATATACTATATACTATACTATAATTATACTGNTATACTATATACTATACTATAATTATACTATATACTATATACTATACTATAATTATACTATATACTATATACTATACTATACTGTATACTATATACTATAATTATAAGTTAATAATTGAAAAGTTTTATATTATTTGAGATTTTACGTGAAATTCTAATTAATAATAATAATATAAATTTATAGTAAAAAAATAAATTAAAATTAAATAATAAACTAGGATTAGATACCCTGTAACATTAATATACATATAAAAAATATTCTTATTATTGACTGTTATTAAAGAAGACTAATAATCTCTTTTATATCAATAAACTTGAATTGCTTGAATCACTGGTCGAGATATAGGGAATATATTTATAAAAATGTAAAAAACATTCAAATTATTTCATTTCATAATAATCTCCTGACTTACGCAAATTCGCAGTTACGTAATAAATCTCGACAATTACAACTACTAGCACGTATGAACATGTTTGCATCTTTGACATCCATTGCGTCATGCAACGACATAATATTAACTAGACTCGTCACTGACAGCCAAGTGTCATTTCAGTTTGTTTCTATATTCTTTTATATATTTCTCATACTTTTATAATTCACATCCGTGTAAATCCTGCTGCGTGATGTTTTCACTTATAAAATAATACCGTGTGCACATATAAATATAATAAACATTACAGTTTCTTACAAAGTTACAGCAATTTATAAATTCGAGTTTGCGTAAAATTCAAGCTGTTTACTGTAACTCTGCGAACTCATTCAACGACACTTGGTTGACGAGATACATTTCACGAACGATTTCGCAACAACAACAACGACAAAGTTAAGAAGCATCTTTCAATTCGTCTTGGAACACGCTACGTAACCTCGATTCGCTTTGAAAAAGTTTCCGCCAAGCATCCTCTCGCTTTCGAAACCCTCGCTCATCGAACTTCCGACGTCGGTCGATTGTCGCGTGGAGGCTGGCCAGCAGCCACCGCGTTACCCGGCAAAAGTCCCGGTAAAAGAATGCCGGGACGCGAAAAACCGGCGAGTCATGAATAGATGAGAGCCAGATAATATTGAAAGGTTTGCCGCCCCCCTCTCACCTTCCCTGTTCGTACACAAGGGCAGCGATGGTAGTTGCCACTTTCGGCTACCCTCTAACCGGCTGGACCATCGCTTGTGGTTCCTCTTCTCCTTTGCCGTGGCGGGATTACGTCGCCGAGGTTCATAACCGGCCGCACATTCAGCCACGTTTCACCGCGATTTCCGATCTGCCCGCGGAGAAAAGCTGACCTTTCTGTCCGTTCGAAGGAGAGCTTTGACCATTTCCAACGCGATGCTGCCTGAAAGGGAACGAGATACCGCCGCTACAGGTGAATCAGGCTGCGCTGAAAATTCGTTCTTCACCTCCGGGTCGATTCTCAAAGCGCGAGTCTTTCGTGACACGAGGCGAGATTCTTCTCGAATTTCGTTAGGAATACGTCGGGATTGAAAGGTCACTTTCAATGGAGCAACGAACGACGTCCTTCGACCCTTCTTCCCTCGTTCTACGATTTTCAATTCTTGAACTTGAGCGCAACACTTGGACAAACAGAGGCACGTTTAAGTTTTTATTTATTAATGTTCAGCATTTAGAAGCGACTGGACTTGGAAGTTTCGTATGTTAATCGATAACTCGTGCCACGGTGTTACGAAAAACAGCGTAAAGTGTAATTCCTTATATATCGACGTATGTGACTCGATAAAAATAATAGTACTCGAATAGATTTTCCCTGCATTTCGAAATTTTCACGATTAAAGGAACGGAGGCCGATTAATTCTTCTTTGGATATTTTATATACACGTGCATTTTTTTTGCACACAAAGCAGTGTGTTCATTTGTTTATACTCACTCGGAAGAAATAGTCGCAGAAATTCGAAGCATGCTTCAACTAACATTTCAAATGAATTTTTCCCAGGCAACCATCGCCAGGATCTGGCACGACCGGCACGTCCACGGTTTCCTCGAACACGGCCGACGGGGAAAATGGCCAAAGCATCGGCTTGTATCCGGTGGGCAGCGTGGGTCCAACGCCAACGAACCCAACGACCGCCACAGCGATCACAACCACAGCAACGATATCACTGGCGACCAGCGGGCCCAGGACTCAAGAGCCTGGGCCCAGTATCACCAGAAGCGCGTCAGCACCCACTGCACCGAGGCCGGTCATCCAGGTGGCCAGCACTTCCAGCAACCCTGGCAGCCAGAAACCCAGGCTGAGAAGGACCATGAGTCGCACCGAGGCTATCAGGAAGTTGGTCTCACTTTCTTCGCTATTTCAATCAAACGTCACTTGCTCTTTGTGAGCAAGCACGTGTGGCAGGACGATTTTCAAAACGAATTTGACAATTTTTCACGACGAGTAGAAATTGCAGAAGCACGAATTTTTGTCCTACGTACTCTGGTTTTCGAGCTGTGCGTGCAACTGCACACCGTGACACGGCTAAACGAAATTTAATTCATCAAATTTGTATTTCTAGTGGGATTTAAAATTTTTTAAAATCCGTCGTCTATCTGCACGATCTGGTATTCAAAATGGATTTCAGTACTTCCGAAACGAAAATACTGCAAAGTTCAGCGTTGTTCGAGTTTTATTGAATTATCTACGATTCAGGAATTAAGGCCATAGAAGACCGATTTCAATTCTATGGATCCGCATCTTTAAATATTTATTTGGAAATCATCCCAGCACACGATGCTTCGAGATTATAATTTATATATACGATCGCAAAGATCGTAAGATGTTTTCGAAAACACTGTGCGAACGATAGCGAATTGAATTCAATCCCGTTGTTGTACGGCCGCTGTTGCTTCAACGCGAAAATACCATCAGAATTCCAGCTGACTTCATCCCCACTCGCAGACATTCTTCGTAAATTAATCGTGAATTCATTTCCCGCTGTTCCCTTTTTCCGATTGGAGGAAAAACGACGCGGTGTGCAGATAGAAACGCGCGCTTTATTCTCCGTTTTCAGTTACATCAGACGCGAAACAGCGCAGTTCTTCGGCGTGGACGAGGAGTCCGAGGCGCTGGAGAGACAAAGATGGCTAGACCGAAGACGGAGAATGGCGTCGAGGAAGTACGGTGCCCTTGTTCCGGAACACAGACCGCCGGATCCAGATATTACCAGGGACGTGCCAGACACTACCGACGTGCCAGAAGTAAGTTTCGTACCTGTTAAATTAATCCTCGGAAGTCGGAGGGGAAAAGCGTCGTCAGAAAGAAAGGAAAACGAAGAGATAGTCCTTCGAAAGAATTTCCTCCGTCGTTCGCGGCGAGTTCTGTGAACAGTGCAATTTTTGCTTCGTTCGTTCATTCACTCGTAGTGTTTAATTTCCTGCATTTTCATCGTCCGTCGTTGCACGCGAGTTTTTCCAGTCCAAATTGACATTGTCCAATCCAATTTATGTTAACCCTTCGCTCGCAATTTTTATCATTTTGTTCCAACTACAGACCAAAGGTTTCTTTCTTCTCACCTATATTTTTTTTCTTTTTTTCTTTTTTCTTTTTCATGGAAAAAACTAATTTTAAATTAAACTCAAGTTTAATTAACATGACTTTTTCATTTATATCTCGAGAATTGCTTCTTTCAAATGTTGAAAAAAATATGTAACAAAATGATTACGGATTTGATACATAGTTCATGTTACATTGACAGTTTTGTGCCGGTTAATTTTCGCGATACACTACACAGGCTTACGAACAGGATGATATACTTATGGGTAGATTATACCAAGCAATATAATTATTATATTTAATTCAATCTCTTTGAAATTCACGTCAAGTATCATATAATTACCATAGTCACCGCTTTCAAATTCATTATCAGTTGCCGTTGTCTTTCCCATCAGATCCAATAATTAAATAAAAATTTTTGAATTGAATTTTGGACTTTTATAGAAAATAAGGAACTACGCCTTCCCGAATTCTATCGGGAATTCTATTTCAAAATCACTTTCAACACCCACGATCGAGTCAAAATATATTTTATTTCGTCTCTCTGTTGGTCTCAACGAAGTAACATCGGCGTGAAAAATTGAAACGATATGTATTGTCGAGCCACGTAGAATCGCAAATGGTTTCGTAGCATCGAAATTTTCAGAACGAAATTTCAAAAACGAAATCGAAATCCTGAGAAGAAGAATTCGTCGAGAAATTAATGCGCATTAATGTCGCTTGCTTGTTAAAACGATTTCCATTGAAGCTGTTCTTCACAAGGGAAGCATCCCTGACACGATCTATGATCTGAAAGGAAACCGGTGTTCGAACAAAGATAAAGGGCAAACTGTGTCAAAGTCGAAAAATTGTATCGAGCGCGTTTCTTTCTCTCTTCCACCCCTCCTCTCGACGGCGGGGGAATACAAAATTCACCGCGTCGCAGGGTTGTTCCCCCGACACGCGAAGGGACACGGTATCGATCGCGTTCGCTTATAACGAGCCACTTTGCCCCCTCCATCCCTTCTGTCCCGCCGATTTTCATTAATGAATTCGTTTAATTGTATTTAATTTCCTTAATTAAAAGCGGGAGTCTCTCTTTACTCAGTCGCGGAATTTTAATGAACACGCTTCTCCACCGGCGGCTTCATCGCTCGCAGCCGGGTGTCCCCCCATCGTTGAAAAATACCGGGCGACGCGGCAGCTGCGGCGTTTTCTCCTTTTTCGCCGTTAAATAATAAGGCTTCTTTTTTATTTAGGGTGTTACATTGAGAAGATGGCAGCAACCAGTCAGACGAAAAGATTCCGTGGCGAGAATGACGCTTTCGGGGCTCCATTACGTCGTCGAGGTGAGTCCTCCCTTTTTTCTCTCTCTCCCACGGCGAATAACCAACCAACAGCCGCGCAAATATCGCGGCTCTCCTCTGGAAAGTCAGACAAAAGTCGCGAATTCGTTTCGGCCTGTGCTCGTTAGAGGGCAAAAAACGGCGTATAATAAAGTGGAATTGTAAAATGAAGACGCGCGATTTTCTAATTAAGAAGCTAGATAGATGAAACTGTTCTATACTGTTCTAATTCACAAAGAATTGATCATTTGCTCTTCCGTTTTACGGAATAAAATTGTAACAACCGAATAAGATACTTATTATTTGAATAATTTTAACCATGAATGTTCACGATGTCCCTTTTGCATTTGCGAGCAGATCAAAAATAAAATAAGAATAAAAATTTTCAATTTAATTTTACAAGTGTTCTCGGCGTTCTTATTAAAAATGTTCTTTTAATTAATATAAATATACTTTTCTATCAATGTATTGTTTTAATATCCTCGTAAATAATATAGGTTACAATGGACTGGTAGAAACAATATGTAAACTATACGCGGCTCTCGACAAATTTCTGTTGGCCCAATGAGGCCGAAAAGATCTGAAAGGTCGGACACTCGTGCTCTAATTTTTAGATCACACGCGGTTCAACGTTAATCCCTTTTGACGCGCCGCCACTCTGGCTAACTCCCTTCGCGACAGAGTTGATTCCTTTTCAGGAAGCCCGGTGTTCAATATCTCGAGTGCCACTTAACCGAACAATACCTCCAATTTGGTACAAATTCCTGCGCTATCTACGTCGTTATTCTGACTTCATTGTCACATTGCTCTCATTTTTCTTGTCTGTATCCTTTTCCCTCTCTTTCCTCCTGTTCGCTGCGCCAATAATTCTCGTGCACCAATCACTATTCCTGCATCTTGATCGTGTAGGTGAAAAAACAATGCAAATTTTAACCTACGTGGTTTAAAATAAAATACAAAGCTGGTTTGTCAATTTAGGAATTGAAGAATACTGAAAAAGAGGCCGAAGTACGGCGATGACGAAAGATGTTAGACTTTCACGCTGTCAAAATTCGCTACTCGCTATAATTCTCTCAACATCTATACACTTTCTCGACTCGCTACTCTATTGATCTGTACTCGTAATTGTAATCAATCCGAAAACACCCTCAGAACCTTCATTCACGCACAACCACACATCACCCTCATATTTTAAGTCAGAGCGGGCAAACTGGCGACTCGCGAGCCTTTTCCTGATCGCTAGCGCTACCCCCTCCACTGCATTGGTCTCCCCTCCACTATATTGAAATGAGCCCCACTCTCTCAGTGGAGGGGGTAGCGCTAGCGATCAAGAAAATAGGGACAAGCGGGTCGCCAGTTAGCCCTTCAGAGGCTTAACTTCTTTAACCACTTGCGTTGGCAACTGATTGCGGACCATAACGAGTGACCAAAACCGTATACAATAATTCGTCGCTTTCTTTTTGAACTCGTCGGTACGATATATCGCTGGATAGAAATTATTGAGAAGTGATAAATTTATCGCTTGTTTTGGCCGAGTTCAATATACTTGAAACTGAGAAAATATTGCAATTTTGGGACAAATATTCTTGACGTGCGTGGCAAGAGGTTAAAACTTAATCGTAGCGATTGCCTCCTGAGCACAGAAAGCATTTCCAAGGTTTCCTCACCCTGCAATTGTAAAATAACGAGCACTCGTAAATAAACATTCTCGCGTCGGAAATTGGCACGTGAAATCATAATGCTCGACGAACGTTAATAAGAGGAGGATATCTGCGGAAGACGTCGCGTTCGGGAAAATTCGAATTTCCTGCGGGAGGAAACGGCATGCGGAGCTGTTCGTACGGTTTCCATTTCCCGTCGTTACCGAACGAGAATCAAGGGTAAACGAGTAAACCAGTTAATCAGCCAGTTTCGTTATCATCAGACGACGCACTGTTCGACCGCTAAGAGACAGAGCTAAGTTTCGACGGAAGTCTACGGCCGTCATTAAGCTAACGAGCTCGAGGCAGCTTCCGGTTGCCGGGCGTTACCTTCTACTCCACGCGTCGCGTCGACTTTGACATCAAGGCGAATTTCCATCCAGCTGCAGATTGCTAATTTCCAGAGTGCGTTAATCACCGCGTTTGGTCGTCGATCTGATTTCTCCGGGGTTCGCGAGATCTCGCGAAAAGTTTCCATTTAACGCGAAAAATTTTACATTTCCCCCTCTCTCTCTCTCTCTCTTTCACTTTCTCTCTGTGTCTATTTCATTTCGCAGAGCAGTGAAATTTTTGACATAAATGGTAGAGTATCCTGCGGAATCTCGGGTCGAAAAGAGATTGCGAGCTCTCCAATCCAGGTGAGAGGGACTTTTATCGATGGAATTCGATTCGAGGTGTTTCGTATTGAAATTCTTGTATTCCCGGACGTTGGGCGAGGTCGCCGGGCGCGTGATTAGATTATGAAGTTGAACGTTCGGCAAATGTACGTTGCAGCAGCGGGTGGGCTTTTTAATTAACGCGATCGTCCCTCCCTCCCGAAATATCGACTTGTTTAATACTAGTTCGTGACTTGAAACGTTACAGTGTAGCCCATGATAGAGGGTTCTTGGTACTTGGCAATCCTCGCGCCCTAATTTCACGTGACTTCCAGCTGATTCTTCCTTGAATTTTTGTCCAAGGATGTTCAATCGCGAGCGACTCTGCAATGCTGATCGTTCACGTCGGCAAGCATTTTCGTCGACGTTCCGTCAGTCAGCAGTTCTGACGTTGATCGAAAGAATCACAACACGGTGTGTCTGTCCTCCACGCAGCTCAGAGGGAGGAGCTTGCTCTTTGTTCCCTCTCTCGTTGGTTTTTTTCAAATTTGCCGTCTAGCGAGCAGATCTCGCGCCCGACTTGCAAGAGAAAGTGTATGGCACTTTCGTGTGCGCTGCTCTGTGTACAAAGCCGACGGTGAAGTTTGTCAAGAATGAACGGGCAAAAAGAAAGTAGATTTAGAACCAGAGGCGAAACGACGACACAGCGTGCAAATCCTCTTTGACACTTTTCCTACCATCCACGTTTCTCTCCAAGGCTCGCGAAACGGTCGAAAACGATGGCACGATCGTCCGTACAAAGGGAACAAACGAATAAATCTGCAACTTCTTTCTCCCCACTACGCGGAGTAAACGTTCTTCCCGCGCTCGAGACAAAGGAAAGAAACTTTATTTCTGCGCTCTTACGTCGGGCAGCTTTGCAGAAGCACTCTCTGCGATAATTGTGAGAAATTGTTGTCAAAGAAAAAAAAA